GTGTCAATTTCGCCTTAACTATGTTAAACATGACGTTCTCCAAAAGGGTTAATCGAATTGCATTTATCGTCTTCCTGTCAATTTTCTTGTTTTCAACTTTATCCATATCTTCGGGTTTCTCGTTTAGTAATTCCTCCAAGTCTTTACCATACAGGTGATCTTGCCTCTGCATCTTCCGGAATTGGAAATTGATCTCATCGAATACCTTGATAGTAGGACAATTGTTCATTTTAACTCCCACTCAAACAAAATTTAGGGTTCTGATACCAAACACTTAGATAATTAATTGAAAAAAAAGGCTCTGCAGTATTAGAAATGTCATCACTAAATTGTAAGTGTGGGTTATGGGCATGCACAACGAATTGCGATAATATCACACATAATTTTTCAACTGCAATACACAATAATAATGATAATCTACTTACTTAAATAAAAATATGATAATTAAGCTAAAAATAATTAAGTTATTAAAAAATTATTTCACCAAACATTTTTTTGTGTTTCTTGCATCTTTTTCTGTGTAGAGCGAAGCTCGTTTAAGGATGTTATCAGGGGTAGTGGGAGATAACACTATATAGAATAGAAGAAAGATCACTGTAGCATTAAACAAGTTACCTTTCCACGTGAATCAAGATTTGACACTTGCATTTTTTTTATTTGTTTTTATTAAATTTTCCGTATGTATCCACAAGTTTTTTTTTTTTTTAAAAGCCAAATTACTTTGGGTACTTTGAGATAACTATGATACCTCGAGAGTTGAATAGTGATGAATCGGGGTGGATGTGATACCACCGAATTTGAATAAACATGTGTAGGATTTAAATAGATTGATTAGACTATTCATGTTAATAATATGCATATTTATTTTCGAAAAGTTTATTTGAAGGAACTCTATAATTATATGTACTTGCTCTAGGGTAATTTCAGGATGGTTGACCACGTGAAAAATCTCACAGAGTGCACGTAAGTGAGAACAAAACATGTTGGAAGAACTTGTATTGACTTGTAGGACCAGACTACAATCCCAACACACCCGGTCTGTGTGGCATGCAGGCGAGTGTTACAATTGGTATAAGAGCAGACCTACGATAGCCCATAATCGTTGACTTAACTATTGAAGGGCTTAGCAGTTAACGGATCCTTGGGGTGCAACGTGGACGTTACATTCTTAAATCAAGGATGATATGATACCCCAAAAATTGAATAGAGATGAGTCGGGGTGGATGTGATACCTCCAAGGTTGAATAGAGAGATGTGTAGGGTTTAAATAAGTCGATTAGATTACTTATGTTAATAATGTACATATTATTTTTCGTAAACCCACTTGAAGGAACTCTATAGTTAAGCGTACCTGCTCTAGAGTAATTTCAAAATCGGTGACTCCTTAGGAAGTCTTCCGGAATCTGCATGAGAAGGATAAATTGCACTAAAGGGTTTGTGTTGACTTGTAAGACCAATCTATGATTCCAACACATCCGAGCTGCATGGCTTGTAGACCGGAGTGTTACAATGACTTAGTAAGAGTTTCCTATATATATAAAAAATAAATAAATAACATGTTATGTGTATATATATATAAATCACGATTACAATTATAGTCATCTAATTACAAAAAATAATATAAAATAAAGAGAAATAGAAAACATAATTGAAGGTTGTTCAATTTCTTCTAAGTCGTTAAGAACTTTGATGTTTACTTAGTATGAGTCATTTTACTCTATTATTTAAAAACACGCGTAAGAATAATAAATACTAAGCACATAATCGATTATCAATATTTCCAATGACCACAAAATTATTAATAAAAATATTATTTTTTTCATCTCAATTAAAAATATTCTTTTTATTATTGTTGTCTACCACCCAAAAGTATTTATTTCTTATTATAGTTAAAGTAATGCCAAAATATTTTTAACTTTTATAAAATTATCTATTTTCTTTCTATTTGTAATAGCAAAAACATAAAAATCATCTTACATACTTATACTAACTGATAAATATTAACTTTAACAACAAAAAAAAAAAAAAAATCAAACAAACAAAAACATACATTGAGTTGGAAAGAAAATAATATATAATTATTTAAATATAAATGTTATTTATCAAGTAGCATTAACACGACCGTGTTGAACTAAACACAACTATATTTTGTATATGTAAGATGACATCTCAAATTTTATTACATCCACATCCGCTATTAACGTTAGTTTCCTAACAACATAATCAAATTGATTAAAAACTTTTGAATTAAAATTAATTTCGATAATTATTTTATATGGCACTAAAATTAATTTATTTGGTTTTCAATAAGCAAAGTTAATTTCTTCAATGTAATAATTGATGTAATTAATATTTTTTCTAAATATATGTATTGTACAAATAAATAGTACCTACAAATTCTTGATCTTAACTAAGTATAGAGAAAGTTGTGTTTAAATAATAATATTTATTCTATTTGACGATTGAAATATTATTTAATAAAAATGAAAGCTATTTAAAAAATGGGTTGAAAATTGATTTGAACTAGAATGTTAATTTGAGTTTTCGTTTAAATGTAATATTTATATGTAATATTTTGTAAGAGAAAATTGTTAAATTTATTGAAAACAATAATATTGATTTTATTTTGAAATAAAATAGTAATAATAAAATAGAATTGTTCTTAAATATTATTGTAACAATTACTTCACTTTATTTTACTTATTTTTAGGTAAAAAAAATATTTGTGTATAATTTTTTTTAATTTAATTTAATAAATTATGATATAATGTCATATATAGATTTCTTTCAAACAATTTTGTATTGTACCCCTTGCAAAATATTTATTATCGACTATTCTATCTTGCCAATTATTTGGTGCGGCATTTGTTAACTAGCATTATCGTATTGTGACACAACTACTAAGGGATGGTTTACGTGCCGTTATCAAATCTCATTTTTTTGAATTTGTAACGGATTTATCGATTATACTATTTTTTTTTTAGCGATGATATTATCAATGAGATTTGTTTTGACTATTTTCAGACAATCTTGAAAATTTTATTTAAGTTGTATTATATACTAATGTAATAATCAACAAGCACCTTGGGAACACCGAGAGCGACTATCCTTAATGTTGACAAAAAATGTTGTACTAATTTAGATTGAGACGGGCTTCGAAGTTGTCTTATAATCTCCCAAGGGGTGGTTGGATTCGAGGAGTATTGAGTTCAATTGACATCGCCACGATTTAGAAAGCTCATGATCGGTTTGGTTTGTATTTTAAAATCAAATATATATCAATACTATTTAGTATATACCATCATCGGTAAAAAGATATTATTTTATCTCACAAAATATTAAATTAAAATATTATTTAAATAAAAAACTCAAATCAACACCTAACAAACCCTAAATTATATGGATCCATTTATGTACTTACTTTTGATGCTATTTACTAATAATATATTTTTCAAACTATCAAATCAAATATTTATTTATTTTTAAACATTGCATAAAAACATAAGACTTTGTTTGCATGGATATATATTTTTAAAAACTTTGACAATATTCATTGATAATTATTTTTTCAAAAAAAAATTACATGAATTTATTTATTTTTTTCAACCTCAAATATATATATATTTTTATCATTTTTAAATGCTTTTATAATTTCAAAATCTCTATCTAAATGGAACTTTATTTTCTATATAAAACATGCATTCCATATCTATTTAAATCACAGAAAATATCTATTTTTATTCAAAAAATTATTATTTTTAATTTTTTTTTCAAAACTTTCAAAAATAAAAAAGGCAAAAAAAAAATGAATATGTGCAAAGTAAAGACTTGGGTACAATGGATTCTAATGCCATTTTTTTATATTTAAGTTCGATGTATATATACATTTGCTTACGAATAATTTTAATTAGTAGACTTATATTTTACTATAATTATATTATTGTTACTGGATTAAGTTAAAAAATCTCAATTTTCCAAAAATATCACCTTCGTATTTTGTGATTTCATAAAGTTTATCCATTGTTTAGCTATATATTCTTATACAAAAGATTTATAATAATCTACTTTCAAAACTATTCTATGTTCTTCCAATATTATCTTTGTATTGCAATTCCAAAAACTAATAATAAATAATACAAGATATTTTTTTATAAAAAAAAAAAAAAAAAACTTCAAAACTCATTTAAAAAAAAACTAAATATCCACTTTAAAATAATATATTGTAGAATTAGAATAAAAAAAATTAAATAAAATATTTAATATCAGCATAAAAGGGAATTTGACTTCCCTATACATGATTATCCAATAAAGAAACATACAAAATTATTTAAATATATGATTTGATATCTTTTTCTTTTTAAATAATAATAATAAACCAAACAACTATGTTTAATTGATGTTTTTTTTTAAAAAATAATAATTTGAGTATAATATTTTATAAGAAAAAAGTATTTTATAATTAAGATAAAATAGTGTTTAAAAAATGTAAAATAGATATATTAAATGTTTTTAATCTATTTAAATGTGCATGAGAATAATTTCATATTACAATATTAGTAAATAAAAAGATAAGTATAATATTTGGAATAAAAAAATAAATAAATGTTAGTATTACATAGATAAAGATGATAAATAATATAAGAGCAATAGAAGGCCACATCCAATCCAAACATAACCGATGATTCCTTCCCTATTTTTAAAAAATATCTTAAAAACAAAACCATTAAAATTAAATTTTTTAAAAATTAAAATTAAAATTAAAATGGGCAAAAGCTGAACGCTATCTTACCCTCTACGAAAAGAAGACAGTGAGACAGCTAGCTAGCTAAGTATTAGGAGCCGTGGTCCCGGGACCCCGAATCCCTCAATCAACTATTGACTTTTCAGTTGAGAAAATCTACTTGTCTCCCTCCTCTCCAATTCCTCTCTCTCTCTCTCTCTCTCCTCTGATCTTCTTCTTCTTCTCGCTCTACCTGTTTGCCTATAAATACCGCTCCATTCTCTCACTGAAAATTCGAAATTGGAAGAAACTAAAACTATAAAAATGGTGGTCCAGTCGAAGACCTGCCCCTGCAACCCAATCACTGAACAGACATTCATCCCGCCATTGCTGGACCTCGCCCAGCCCCCGGACGAGGCGCGGCGAGCCGCCCTGGTCCGGGCCTGCGAGGACCTCGGGTTCTTCAAAGTGATCAACCATGGCGTCCCCCTCCACGTCATCCAGTCCCTGGAATCCCACGCGAAAGCGTTCTTCTCCCACCCCCAGTCCCACAAGTCCCAGGCCTCCCCCACCCCCCCCGACCCCTTCGGCTACGGCCACAAATCCATCGGCCTCAACGGCGACGTCGGCTGGCTCGAATACCTCCTCCTCAACGCCAACTCCTCCCCCGACGACTACCGGAAATTCTCCCCCATTTTCCCCGCCGACGCTGCCCGCCATTTCCGGTCAGCCTGTTAAAAAAACAAACAAACAAATACTGTAATTAATCAAAATCAATGCTTCAACCAATCAATTTTTTTGATTACAGGGGTGTTGTGAATGAGTATATTGGAGCAGTGAAGAAAATGGCGTGTGAAATTCTGGAGATGTTGGCGGAGGGGCTGAAGGTGGAGGAGAGAGACGCCTTCAGCAAGCTGTTAATGGACGAACAGAACGACTCTGTTTTCCGGCTGAACCATTACCCGCCATCATCGGACGGCGGAGAAGAGCTGATCGGCTTCGGGGAGCACACCGACCCTCAGATCATATCGGTGCTCAGATCCAACGACACCTGTGGCCTCCAGATTTTCCTCAACGATCACCACCGTTGGATCTCCATCCCGCCCGATCATAATTCCTTCTTTATCAATGTGGGCGACTCCTTGCAGGCAAGCATGTAGCCTTGTTTTAATTTAATCGTGAAATTGCTCGTAACTCTTCTGTCATTTTGAAATTTTCCGTAAAATATTTTAAAAATTACATGATGTTCTCTTATACTTTTAAAAAATATTGTATGAAATCTCACCCAGTGAAATCTCCGTTGTGTGATGGGGTTTTCATTCGATATTTTTGAAAGTCATACAAGTAAAGTGGAGATTTATACTGAATCTTGAAATTACATAGGGATTTCATGCATCATTTTTTAAAGTATAACGAGACTCAATGCAATTTTTAAAGTAAAAGGAAATTCAAGGAGTTACGGACAATTTTGTCTAATTTAATTTAATTTTAACCCAAAAAAAATAAAAAAAAAAATATTTATAATAATAATAATAATAATAAAACGAGACGTGTGTGACTCAGCTTGACCAGACCACTTTTTGGCTTGATGATGTGAGGTTTCCTAGGTTTGACTACTGGGGCTAATTTAGGTAACCATGATTATTTAAACTAATTAAATACTACTACAATTATATTATTATATTAACATTATTATTTTATTTTAAGGAATTGGAAATATAAATAAATAAAGATATTCCGATGACATTTGACTTTACACTTATTAATGTTTTTGACAATAATCTCAGTAGATACTTTGACAACGATGCTGTCTCTAGTCTCAATCAAAACTTCCAGAAACTAGTTGGTGATACCCATCAAAAAAGGAAAGTAGAATAATAGATATATAGTCATAAATTAAATTTAATCAAAAGAAAGTCTAATACACATTCCTTTCTTCCTTTTTTTTTTTTTTTTATTAAATATACCTTTTTCCATACTTTATTTTTTTTCAAAAATTACAAGTCGAATATATTTAAGATACTATGCTATACTTGGATTGGAATGTAATAACAAATATTCTCTTCATCCGTCTCTAAAGGTCTCATTTACCTTTTGCGTCGTTGTACTTAACATTAAAAATATTTTTATATTTATATAAATTTTTGTACAAATGTCATTCTATTAGTATTATAAGACATTAATCGAAATAGTTTTGTAATTTTTTCTTAATTTGTACTACGTTTTGATATATTAATTAATATTCGAATATCAACACGCAAAAAGTAAATGAAACCCTTAGAGGAGAACAGAGGTAGTAATTAAATTTACTTTAAAGAATAATTATTTATTTATTTATTTATCGCTGACACGTGGCTGCAGGTGATGACGAACGGGAGGTTCAAGAGCGTTCGACATAGAGTGGTGGCCAACGGGGCGAAATCAAGGGTGTCGATGATATACTTCGGAGGACCACCTCTTAGCGAAAAGATCGCCCCGTTGCCGTCATTAATCAAAGGGGACGACGACAGCTTGTACAAGGAGTTTACGTGGTTTGAGTACAAGAAAACGGCGTACAAGTCAAGGCTCGCGGACAATAGGCTCGGCCTATTTGAGAAGATCGCGGCCTCTTAATACTATACTATACGATACTATGTTACTCTATACAATTTATAGTTATGCTTTTTTTTTTTACCACAAACTATATTATCAATTTTAGATTAAATTAAGGTTTGCGTTGTGTGTGCCTATGTTATGTATGTATGTTTCGATATATATATATACATATGAATGTATCTTGATCGATATATATAGGCTTCTTAATATATATCCACGACTCAATAATATATACTTCTTCGTTGTGGTGTTATTTTCACTCGTGTTTATCGTTTTGAATTTTATCTATATTTTCTCTAAAATTTATGGATGTATTTTTTCTAGTATAATTTAGATTATTTTTATTTTTTAAAATAATAATTCAAGTATAAGATTTTATAAAACAAAATAATATACTCTTTATAGATATATTTTAAAATAATATTTCGTCCGTCTCACTATAACATATATATATATATATTTTTTTTATCTATCCTACTTTAATTGATATATACATTTTTATTTTGGATAAAATTTATTAAATTAAAACATAGTTAACAAATATAAATCAACTTAATTAATTATATAACATATAACATCATACATAATATAGAATTCACTCAAAATTCCTTTATTTCTATCTCACTTCTCAACAAAATAAGTATTTTTATTGCTCATTTAAAACTTTACTTCCTTTATAAAATTAGTTTATAATAATTATAAAAAAATAAATATTTTTTATTTATTTGTATTATAAAAAAAATTGTTTTTTACAAAACCATATACATATTGCGTGTATATATATATATAACATATTGACCTAGGACGGAGGGAGTAATTTGTATGCATGTCATGTTTTTTTTAATTATTTTCCAACATCGCATGATAAAAGAAAATTACGGTTAGAAATTTCGGGGGAAAAATAATAAAATTGTCTTATTAATCATCAAAATAAGGAGTCTATATATGCAATACAAAATAGATTCGATAGACTCAATTCTAATAATCTAATCTACGGATAAGACCAAATCTAAATATAAATCTACTAAATTTAAGACTGAATATTTAAAATATCTCAACATCTCTCCGGTATAACAAAAATCAATTTGAGTTTGATAAGAAAGTTGAATATAGACACAAAAAACGAAAATAAAAACAACAGTTGCTTGTCTGCCGTTGCCACCGCTGCTCTACCGTGTCAAAGCTAGAAACAATGCTCTCAACAAAATTAGAGTCGAATATAACAGAACTCACAACGGAGTCGAAAATGACACGACTCTCTATTGGAGTCGAAAGCGATATGACTCTCTACTGGAGCCGAAAACAACGAGAGCATTCTCTGCAAAGTCGGAAATAACGAGACTCTTATTGCAATAAAAAACATGGCTCTGGAGAAACACAATAGACAGATCGCAGAATCGCAGACAGATGTGCAGACATGACTTTAGACAAAATCAGGACAAAGACAAATTTAGAAAAAGAAAAAACTAGAAATTATAGGAAAAATCTCAAAATTAGGAGAAAAGTAAGCTCTGGTATAGAAATTTTGGGGAAAAAATAATGAAATTGTCTTATTAATTATCAAAATTTTTATTGCATCTAACTTGTAAATTAAGTTAGATCATTATTGTTACTAATATTAAAATTAAATAATTAAATCTTTTAAGCAAATTAACGTCAATACTTAAATCATGAGTCTCGATACAATTATTAACTTATCAATTCATTAATCTACAAATCTCATTGATTAAAACCATCAGATATTTTAAAACCAAGAGTTTCAACGAGCCTAAGTATAATTAATTTAATTATTAGCTTATTAATTAGAACTAAATTATCTAAATTCTGCTTCATTTCCCATCAATGGACTTAGTTAACTATCTACAATAGTGAGTTAATTAGTCAAGAATAATAGAAAGAGTAAAAAATTACTATTTATAAATATGTAATACAATGTGAAATACTTATATTATTCACAATAAATTGTATTAAATATCTAAGTTTCTAATTATATTTAAAATTTCTAAAAATACAAAATAAATAAATAAATAAATAAATCCTCTATCTAAAGTAATTTCAAAGCACCTCTAGACATTTTGCTATTTGAATAAAACAATGTTCCGTTATTGCAACAACCGATCGTGTCAATACGAGAGAATAAGAAATACAACACATATTCAGTTTGTTTATTCAATTCGGTCATCGACCTACGCATAGAGGATTTTAATTGAAGCACATCCTCTATGATTGTGTTTTTTTGTAGATTTTACCATATGTTTTTATTATTTAGATTCTTTTTTTTCTTAGAAAATATCAAATCAATTAATTATTTTTTCTTTTTTATATTGTACTATAAATTTATTTTAGATTCAAAATATCACATTGATATTTATTTATATCAAACAAACAATTATTCAAACTTAACTTTTTACTATTTAAAAATCCAAACCCACGAACCATTTATTTAAAGCCTAATTATATTGTCTATACTTTTCTATTTTGTTGTATGGTTCGTTCTTGTGTTATTACAACACGCCAGGTTCAATATGTCAAATTTTTTTCCCCAACAATTGAACTTTTACTTATTTTAGATTTTATAAAAAATTTATTGCCAGTTGAATCTATAAAAGTAGTTTATAGAATTATGTAGTCTCTTCGTCCATAAAGAAGTATCTATTTGCTTTTTGCACATAGTTTTAAAAATATTAGTATTATATTGGAATATAGTAGAAATAAAGTAGAAATGACTAAAATAACTTTATTAGTACGTGTGATATAAAAGTAATGACATTTGTGTAATATATTGTAAGTTGTAAGGGTATTTGTAATGTTAGGTATATAGTACAGTTACTAAAAAAGGAAATGAATACTTTGTTATGAGACGAACTAAAATGAAAAAATGGATACTTTGTTATGGGACGAAGGAAGTATTATTTCTGTAGTGTTAGTAATTTTTTTCATTACTTTCTAAATATTGTATAAAATAAAATAATAATTTTTTATTAAAAAATATATAATTCTTTTTTATTATTATTGAAAATGATGAATAAAATAAACGAATAAACTCTAAATTACATTAATTAATTAATTTATTCAATGATACAAGAAAATATATAAGATATTTAGTAGGCGGGTTGCTCTAAGTATCTAATATAACCTTGTATTTTATATCTTTACTTTTAAGGATATGTGTTGGTGTTTTATTATTATTTTTTAATGTTTAATTTTTTTTTTTTTTTTATTTTTATGTTAAAATTGGTGTAGAGATGTATATTTTCATTAAAAAATAATTATGATTGCATAGTAAAAAGTTGTATGTAAAAAAGAGCGTAATTATGTGTTAATATTAAGAAAATATAAAGTTTTTTTATTTATCATTTCAAATATAAATTAATATTATTCATCTTGTATAATTTTTAATAAAATTATATTATTATTTTTTAAAAATATATTATATTAAAATAATATTTGAATAAAAACTTAAATCAAGGTCTCATTTTAGATCAATTTCAAACCACAACTAATTATAACTTTAATTTCAAAATGTACTAATTACTATATTCTTTATTAATGATAAAATTAAATAATATTGTCCTTGATATTATGCTATTGTTTTATATTCGAATATGCCTATATCTTGTAAATTTTTTTTTATGTGAATATAATTTATTCTTGTGTCCTTCTATATAGAAATTTTAGTAATTTATAATATTTTTTAAGGAAAAAAAAATACATGTAAACCAAAAGAACCTATTTAAAATTTAAATTTTAAGAAAGCATGCAATAATCAAACTTAGCAAATTTTGGAATAGGAATAAAGTAATCTAACGAATATGATATGTGGGTCGTATTCTAGAAAATTTGTTTATTGAAAATGTGATTTGGAAGAAAATTTGTAACAAATATGACACGTGGGTCGTATTCTATAAAACTTGTAACAAATATGACATGTGAGCTGTTTTCTAGAAAATTTGTTACGAATATGACATATGGGTCGTATTCTAGAAAATTTGTTTATTGAAAATGTGATTTGGAAGAAAAATTGTAACAAATATGACACGTGGGTTGTATTCTAGAAAATTTATAACCAATATGACATGTGGGTCGTATTTTAGAAAATGTGTAATGAATATATTCTAGAAAATTTGTTTATTAAAAAATGTGATTTGGAAGAAAATTTTCAATTATATGAAAATTAATGTCCCCTTGTATTTTATTTCTGTGCTAATAATTATCAATTAAAATTTCAAAAATTTCTTTATCTGTAATGGTACTATATAAATGGATGAAGTGATTACTATTTTGAAGTACATAGATAATTTAGTTGAATTTTATGTATATTTAGAAAAACCAACTATATAAAAAGTGATATAATTCGTGATGTACGAGTTATTATGTAATACAATATTTAAAGTAATTTTAAATTATAAATAATAATTCATCGTTTAAAAGATAAACAAACTAAATACATGGTTACATTGAATTTGGTTGGTACATTTTTATACTAGGGATATATTTTTCTTTGATAAAAATAAATCAATTAGAACTTTTGACATTAAAAGCAAATTCAATTTATACAAGACTTTTAATCAATTTGTGCAATTACACACAATTTTCTATCTTTAGCTCTATGATTTTTATTGGACTCCTTACTATTATAGTAAGTAATTTCCATTTAATGCATGAATTTTCTTTCAATGGCTTATCCTTTTAATGGCTTAGATTGTGACCAATGCTTTATTATTAAAATTTGATTTGGAATAAATTCTCTTTATATCATACAATATATTAAACTAGTGTGAATTTTTTATATCTTATTTTTTTTGTCCTTCAATTTTATTTATATATTCTTTTGATCAGTCTGTTATAGTTACTTCATTGTTAATTTTTGCAAACACTATAAGAAAATATCATTTTTGTAACGAGATTTTTTCGTCTCTAAATTCACTTTTTCCGTTACTAATGATATTAGAGACGAAATTAATGATGAAATTACGTTAGCTACGTGATCTTTAGTGACGGAATTCCGTTACAAATATATTATTTTTTTTGTAGCGAAAGATTAGAGTTTAATATTTAATTATTAAATCTTTTTAATCACTAACTCAATTTATAAATATAATTAGATATATTTAATTATTTTTTATATTTTTCTCAATTTATCAATAAAATATTTATTTTGTAATTGCATATCATCCCAATAAAAATAAATTTATCGAATGGATGAAATATACAATATGGAGTTGGATTGGACACTTATTTCTTTAAATAAAG